AAATGTTTACTAATCGCAGGCTTAAAATTGCAAAATTGCATGTTCTGATATCACTTGGAAGTTTGTTCCAAATCTTTGAGTATTGGGTTAGAAGGAAACGTCCTCTGATTCTCGTAGTAAATTTTGGAATCATAACCTTTACCTCTTTGTTACGTATTGGATATCCGCTGTTTAAAGATATGTGAACATCGTTATCAAGACTGTGAATTTGACAATTTATGATTCTGTAAAGAAAACATAGGTTCAGCTTCATTATCCGAAGCCAAACTGGGTCAAATCCAACTTTATCACATCGCTCTCTGTGTGTCAACTTTGAGGAATATCCACATAGCTTTTCAGTGAAGCGTCTTTGGACCCTCTCAAGAGCTGCTGGTCAGACTTCCGCAGACTAGAATGTACCAATAAACAGTATTCCATACACGGCAATACATATATTTTGTAAAGCGATATGCGAGATTCTTTGATGTAAAAATGATGACAGATGTAACCGATGGTCTTCATGGCTTTCGAAACTTGAAAGTCACCGTGTTCAGAAAAGTCAAACGTGACTGAATATCGCCCTCCCAAGTCGTGAACTGCCCTGCATTGCGAGATATATGCGCATTGTAGTAATAAACTGTCTGGCTGTACTTGGCAAACTAACGGCTAGAACCGGTGACATATCGGTCCATTTCTGCTGCAGTACTTTGCACATGCAGAAGCGCACAGCGCTACGCATCAGTCAGTTCAGTAGTACATGCATAACCAGTGGATACGATCCCAGAGAGCTATGTCGTCCGCATATTCACCTTGCAGAACTGCCACTTTAGACGAGTATGCAAGAAACAGAGTCATGCACGATCAGTTTGATCACAAGGTTGAGGGGGAAATCAGGGAAAGGAAAGCTCTACGAAACTTACTTGGCGTGGGGGAACTCAGGAAACTTCCCGTAGATACTGTCCCGCCCTCGGAAATCCTGGTAGTGACTTCAGAATAGAAAGGACTTCAGCTGGCACACCTTCCAATGATAGGCAGTGCCACAAGTTGGATTGATCAAGAGTCGAAGGCGGCTTTCAAGTCAACGGATAACACTATAGTCCGTCATCTGAAGCGCATCTCTGCCCCAACACATGTCGAACAGCAAATATATGGTAACTGTAATCACGACTAGTCTGGCTCTGAGTGAGCCGACTTCATAAGGACCAGTAAGTCGTTGAAGAATGGAACCCGAGTGAAGTTTGGAGACAAGGTAAAGAAGGATAATGCCTCAACGGTTTTCGCACAAAGTCTGTTGACTCTTCTTGAAAATGGGCATGATAGTTCATAGTCGCCAATCTGAACGCATTTCCTCAGTGTCCCAAATCGTGTGACTTTGAGCACCAAGTCCAGTTAACAAAGAGTCACCTCCATCTTTCAGCACAGATGAAGGAAATCGGGCCCAAGAGCCTTGTTTCCTTCTAACACAACGAGATCATGTCGAAACCCGTTCAGTGATAAGTGCGATGTCAACATCCCAGTTGGCTCAGATGATTCAGTAAGCAGCATTGGCCTTGTAGGCTTATTGAACTACTGTTCAAAATGTTCCGCTCAACGGCTTAGTCGGCGCGGCTGAGAGCGGAGCAACTGTCCATTATTCTCAGGTATCGCGTTACTAAATGAGCGACTTTTCGCACCCATGTTCCGGATGTATTGAATTGGCACTCAGCGGTTCCTATCAACATTGCCTTTCTCAACCTCATGGCCTTTGCCACCCAGTAACATACCCGGCCAATTCGAAAACCCTTTGTTAGTCGTCGTTTCAGGGCGTTACGCCCATACTGAAATCCAGAAACAAACGGAACTTATTTGCGTGATTTAATCAGACTGATGCATTCCTCACAGATCCATGAACAGCTCGGATGTCCCAAGTTGGGCGTACAGGAGTCAAAGGCATTCTTTAGGGCACATTAGATACGATTCTGGTCAACGTTAGGCTAAACAACCGTGTTCAGTACTGGCGGGTGCGTTCGTCACGATAATGCTGAACTGCGGACCGAGAGTTCAAGTGACAAGTGAAAAGCTTAGTAGGCAGGTGTTTCGATGAATCGGGAAGTAGGGGCGCAAGACAAGCGCGCACTGGAGCATGGTCGGAATTCAAGTAGCTACCCCACAGTGATAAAGTCTTGAATCGATGTGCGATACGACTGACGACAATATGATCAATTTGTGTGCAGGCCAATGATGAATACAGTGGGCACGGGGTGAGGCGATGTGTACGGTTGTGCTGGAAAGTAATAGTGTTGCTATGGAGAATGCGGTCAGAAATTGATTGTTCGGCGTACACCGACCCGAAAGCGGCATTTTATGTGTTGTTCAGAGTTGTTCAAAGCCGAACCACTTGCGCATTTGTGTTACCAGCAACAAGCAAGATGTCAGCATTTCACTCCATTCGGTGAAGAGACAACAGATGGTGATAAAAATCGTCCTTAATACCTTCCGAGCTGTAGTTAGTGTGGGCAGAGATGAAAATAGGTCGCTTATTGACTAAAACAGATAGTCGAAGTCGAAGCGTACACATGCGATTGTTAGCATGTAATCAGTCGAGTAGATTACCTTCAGCATGTTCGCTAAGGGCGATACCGACACCCTAAATGTCTTGAACGACTGATTTATTATTGCCAGAGACCCGAGGTTTAGTCATCATCACCAAGGGGTCGAAGATCCCTCACAACGTTGTGCTTCGGAGGCACAGTACACAGCAATACCAAGAGAATGAGGAGAGTTAGTGCTACATGTTGGCCGATCTGATCCACAGTGCGGCCGCTAAAACAACTAATGTTAACCGAGGTTCTTGGTTTGATGGACTTGCTACATGTATCGGTGGTAGCAGTTGTGGAGTCGGAAGCAGTCTTTCACTCAATATGCGGGAAGGATAGTTGAGATGGGAGAGAAGAAGCAGAGCAAACACTATTGATGGGATCAAGAGAGTAGACGGTGCTATCCGGCTGAACATTCCGAGAGGAGTTTTGTTTGAAGTATTCTTTCTCTAGCCATTGACCGAACAGCATGACTCACAAAACAGTGGGTAAATAAAAGGTTAGTACGAGGGACTCCACGCAGTCTAAGACTTAATAGACTAACCCATAAGGCAGTTCACATCAAGTTCAACACGGGAGCGTGGTTGCAGAGACCCGCTGGGATCTGCTTGAGGAATATCACACACTTTTTGAAAGTTTAGAAAAACGCACACGCGTCCCTTAAACAAAAGTGGGTTATTTTCTTTACTGTTTTTCGCGTCTGTTGCATATGTGCTTCATCGCATTTTATCATCTTGAAATGATTGCGGAAATGTTGATAACCCTTTTATTCCATACGCTAAGTTAGCCAAAAGTTACGTCGGCATATCCGTATGCTTTATCCGATATTTTAAACTTGAAATCGTCATTTCAATTGATAGGAAGTTGTTTGACATCCCGATTTGGCTGCGCTTTATGTGCATGCTGACAAGGTGCCTACCTCTCCATTATCCACCACCTCGTCTATAATGGTTCTAAGAGACAGTTGGTCGTTGCTGGATGGGACGGGATGTACGGTTCTTGTGATCGTGTTAGGCTCAAAGAGTGGTTCTATGCACATGGTTTGTGTGTGGAGCGGGTTACAGCATAACCACTGCCCTGTGTGCGCTTGATTCCCCAAATACAGCACGCTTGTATGTCCGTGTGAAGGAGTGTGGGCCGACTCCGTTGATGTAACATGGCACCATCCGCATGCCTCACGGTCTTATTCCTTCGGGTTTACAGTGGATATGGGTGTGTGGTTGGAGCTGTGGGTGATGCAGCGCAAGCCATTCATGGTCACACTGTAGGCGCAGGCGTCCTGTGGCTGGCCACAGTGACAGGCAAATCCGAAACCGGATGCCGCCAACCATATATAGGACACAAGTTTCGTGCCCGTTTTCGTATTTAACAATAAGACCATGAAACACATTCCTAAATGCTTCGATTGCAAGTGCAATGTATCCGTCCAAATTCCTAAAGAACAGTATATCATAAAAGTGGCGTATAGACAAAGTTGCTAAATTGATGCTGCTTACTTTCTTTTTAATTATATCCTTGCACAGGTCCGCTAGCAAAGGGCCCAGTGTGCTGCCCAAAACGACACCATCGATCTGCCGATTTGCTTTTGCTTGGAAATTAAACTTGACGTCGTTTGTGTATAGAAGAAGCATGCTTATTAGACTTTCTGTGGGACGCTGTAGCCCGATGTTGTTTTCGTGATAAACTCCCATAGATACTCAACATCCTGGTTCAACGGAATGTTGGTAAAAAGAGACTGTAGGTCGTGAACAAATGCGCTTGTGGGTTACATTTGTGTCCTCCAAAGAAAGAAGTACTCGGAAGGTGTTGAATTGAGAGATGTTCTCACTGGCTAAAACATGCCGTTCAAAAACGTAACAACGGCATGATACGGTGAATTAACCATGAAGATAATTGTCTAGATAGGCAATCCTGCCTTAAGTAGACAATTAATTTGTGGAGTATGGTGCCCATCGCCTCTAGCGTTTTATATCGATTACCTGAGACAAAATCGTCAAACAGTAAGATCTGTAACCTACGAAACAAGTGCCTCTCAATCAAGCGCGATGTGTGGAAACTTGCATCTGGCTTGAGTTGCGGTATTAGACAGAAGTGAGTGACCTGATAAGGAAGAACCGAGAGTGACACGAAGCGTACTATGGCAGCGTGTAACACCGTTGGCCACAAATGTAACGCCTTTATTTTCTTTAGTTGTATGTACGTGGGCAAAGAGTGTGCACAAAACGCAGTGATAACTAGTAACGCTGATCTTCTGATGTCCTTAGTTGGGATACATATGATTGGTGACTACGCAGCAGACAAGAATAGGCGCATAAGCAGGAGGAAAATCAGCGCGGCTTAGTCGCCAACTTGACACACTACTGATTGAGACAGGAAAGCGGAGTACGAAAAGTCAAAGCCATAAGCAACCGGGCAGGGACAAAGGTACGGATGGATCAAACTCACCATCGGTCACTAGCGGTAACCAGATTCGACAACAGGGCTGTTAGCTTTCTTCAAATTATGTGAGACCGGCCTTCGAGATCCAGTGTGAGAACGGTCTTGCACTGGAGCGTTCGAAAATGATAACTTTAATATGAATGGAAAGCGTCCTTTGGAATTTGGAATGGAGAAATGATTGGCGTAAGCAAGAGAATTGACGGCGTCAGCTATGTCGTTCCATTCTACCAGTCCAGACGAGGATCTCTCGTTAGAGGTGAAGAATTCCGCAATCCGACTAAATAAAACACGAAAGACAGGTGACGTATGTGAGCATTATGTGGAACCGCGTTAGCGCCCAAGGAGCTAAAATGGATGACCTAGAAATTTAGTCAGGAAGCATGTACTCGCGCATTCTGTGAAGCCACGAATGGCTACGAGCGTTATCCAAAAGGCACATAAGCGGTGCAAAACATATACATACACATCAATGAAGCTGCGATTACAACCCATAGACAGAAAGAAAGAAATCGGATTGCGTGTGACCAACATCGGATAATACAAGAGTAAAACCTGCAAAGGTGAAAATATGCGACAAGTATGTAGAAAATGCACAAGGTGAAAAGCAACAGGGAAGCCACAGTTAAGTGGTGAAAGCAAGCGTATCTTTAAGAGCAATTAAGTTGTGCCGCGCTTTGGAGATTGCACCCGTAGGATCACTCGAAGTTAGAAGATCAAACAAATGCAGTATCCAGATCTTCTAGGTTGTTAACTGGAGCTTGGGTATCTAAAATAGTCCTTCTTACAAGCCGACAGCGATCAGAAATTCGAGCCGAATCCAATAGTTTTGCTGTCTTGGTTTAGGCACCATACAATACCCAAAAACGTATTGACATGAGTTACACCTTCCTTCAGCCTTCACTTAATTTCACCATGCGCGCAGTATTTGCTGCGTAAAGCAAAGTGAATAAGCAAGAACAAACTTCTGCTGATATTTGTCTCCTCTTCATCTACTGTCCGCATCTTTCTTATCCATGCCAACCAACACTGTTCATCTCCGTTTCAAAGTCTGTAACGGAAGTGGTGACAGCTGTAGTCCTGTTGAAGTTTAGTCACCAGCACATGTATCCTCACGTTGCGAAACTGTCACTCGTAATCAGTAGCTGCTTGTCAGGCCACGTCATACGATGTTCTCGGTTCCCGATGACGGTGGCTGGGGCTAGTTGACCAATCCAGTAATCTTAGAAGTTAAATCGGAATCGACGAATATGCGGCAACTAATGTTGACTCGAGCATTTGCAAAATTCGGTATGATTATCAAGGGTCTGAAATATCTTGGCAGTGGTGTAGTAGGACAGTCCTAGAGAAATTACCTAATTGTCATAGTGCTGTCAAATATTACCAACTGTCTTAGAAATTTTCGAAATTCCTAGTGTGCTTCTCGTTTCGCAGTAGTCCAAACTGCTCATTTGTCCATCCCGATTGGTAGATTTTTGGCCAGTTACACCATTGTGTATCGAACCATACGATGTTCATGTACAAGGGGTTGGTACAAGTGATTGGTTTCGATAGACCAAATACCGTGAGCACATTGACAGTAAAGTTACCGGTGGAAGTCAGTTTCTATGTGGCCTTAAGGACTTGAAGAGGAGATCGTCAAATACCTTTAACGAAGAAGTACCACGATAGTGAGGCATTCGTATCGTCCGCTTCATGTCGAGCGTACTCTCTCATGGGTTGGTGAACACCAATGATTTTATTGCCATGCACCCCTGAGGTATGCAGTGTTTCCGAACCGATCACTTGAATGACGTTGATATCGAAACCATATCGCTGGAGTTCACCTTCAGATCAGACAACTCTGGGTGCCGTTCTCCACTACGACAGTGGGCGTAGCTCGCTTTGGCCTAAAGATATAAACATTAAGTTTTGTGACCATGGTGGGACTCGCAGTATTTCTCATGTGGGGTGGTGGCCCCTGCGCGTCCATGGCGAATACGGCTGCAAGCAATCACTTAGTAGCAATAGGCATGTCAGTTCGTCAGATCAGCTGCTAGTGCGTTTTGAGACACGTACTACATATTTCCACCCATTGCTCATCGAGAGAGCTCTGTTTTAGCCACTAGGTGTTAGCTGGCGTAACACTTGAGGTGTAATGAATGACTCGGTTGCGAATGATGACGACCTTAACTACTAAACTGAGTGTTAGTGCACTGGCTCGTATTCGCCCTTAGGTGGCACTCCCCTTTAGTAACATCATTACAGTAGTATGAAAGCGAAGTGTCAATGTAAATTGATGATACACTGACATCCTTTGGCTAGGAGTGAAGCAGGCGCCGACGAAGGCTGAGATTGATGTCATCATACTGGACCACGCACGCATGCAACAGCCAATAAAAAGGTAGTTAACAGAAAAGTACAAGTATGTGTTTTAGACTGGCGGTTAAAACCCAACCAGCCGCTGTGGTTGTACGCGCACTAGGATACTTCAGGGGTATGTAAAATTATGAGGAGAGAGGAAAGAGTGGTATGCGCGTTTGGTTTGCAACCATAAGGTCACCGGTTCGAATCCGCGTAGGGGCGGGCGTCCTCGCAGTATACTCAGCCCACGCGCGACTGTTGGTGGTCGCGTGGCAGCGAAGCGCCGTTACGGCGTACAGCTGGCGATTTATTTTTTGATTATTTGATTACTCGATTCTGGATTGCACACCGGCTGAGATACGATAGTTTGAACCATGAAAACTACGGCTCCAGTAGGTTGGAGAAAAGCCAGAACAAGTTAATGTGTGAAATATAAAAAGCACTGGATCGAGAGAGTTGATTCAAGTGAAATAGTTGAATGAATATCGGTCGGTAAAGTGTGTACGAACACGAAAATTACGGGTACCACGCAAATAACGGCACACGATGCACATGGAACATAATGGATATGTGACTCCATTGTAAAAAGAAAACCGCAATAACGTGCGATCAAAGCGACGAGTGAGGACACACGTACTCAGGTACAAAAAGCCGGCCAGCCAATTTGGGATGATTTACCTTTTCCGAAGAAAGTGCGCATAAAATGTGGAAAAGAACAAACTAACAGGCAGGTTCACTTTCTTATGCGCAGAAGAACATAAAAAATCATGAAGAGAAAAAGAAAACATGGGAACGAAAATCTTTAGATGAGAATTATGGTAAGAGTACAGTACTGCACTAGTTTTTAAGGCGTTTGCCCGGTAATGCCGTAGTTGCTAATTGCAGCCTCGTTTGAAACAACGAAATGTTCGTCAGGAAGTTAGCAGCATCCAGAGCGTTAACTTACATCGGACATCTAGCCATAGATACTATGGTAAGGGTTGTGAGGCCCGGTTGAAGATCGTAGGGTAATGGAGCACCAGCACCACATCGAATGGTTACCACGTAACTGTAAGAATGTGTGACGCGTACGTCAGGTCATGCAGCAGTACTTGTCTCACGGAGGTGGAAAGCACACATCAGCAGCCGATTCCTATTCCAAAAAACCACGCCGTGCTGGTAGACCCAGACTGCAAGTCAACTGGCAGAATCTCTGCTCCACAGTAAACGAGTGGAACAAGTCATTCATGAACTGATTGCGGGTAAATATGAAGGAAAATGATGGACAAAACGCCTGAGGTATCCAAATTAAGGAGAGTCAAAATGGGACGCTTACAGTGCGTCCGAGGTGGTGATAGGCTTTAGAATATCAGCAAATTGTTATGGTGCGCACACTGAAGTCAAGTAAGACCGCGAACAGGTATGACGAAAAGTAGTAGATCGCTCGCAGGTGGCGTTGCTAGTGCAAACCTGTGATGAATGTAAGCGGCGGAAGCCAAAGTTTACAGACACTACTTTCTCGAAAACAAATGAACCGTAGGGAGGAGATAAAACGTAACACAAATGGGTCGATGACGATCGTCTGGTAGGTACTCAGCTCTAGACCAGCACCAGCGCACATAATAAAACAAAAACGTGGGTGAAGTACAGTAACGAGTTAGAATACGCAGTGCAGCAAGCGTCAGCTGAGAAGGGTTCACAAAAATCTAGGCCAAACATTAACAGGCTAAGTTAGATGGGAGACAGAACATCGAGTATACACCCTCGGAGCCGCATACGGGTACAACGGTGTCTCTATGAAAGGCATCAGTAGTACGTCGGTACTGCGTACCGACGCTTCGCTGCCGCGCAGCCAACACAAGTCGCACGCAGGCTAAGGATACTGCGACGGTCGCCTTACCCCTACACAGGTTCGAATCTACGCCGTCACATTACGAGGCAAGCTCGTTACCTTTAGGCTATGAGCCGGTGTCTCTAAGAAAAGCGCTATTCTGCCCGTAAATCTACCATAAAACACTGTTACAAAACCGGCACGTGATGGAAAGGATCCCATGTCTCCCTTGTAATCCAGAGGTCGAGGGTTCGAGCCTGTGTAGGGGACCGGGTTATCACTAGCAGTATCCTTAGCCCATGCGCGAAGGGTGGTTGTTACGTAACAGCGGAGCCTTGGCATTGCGTATCATCACAAAATATAGTATTATACAAATTGAAGTGAGGTGCTGTGTACTATTCGTTCTAAACAGTGCGCTCCAAAACCAGTTTCATCTTTGTTTGGACGAGTCGGGTAGGAAACAGATGAAGCTGAGTTGAACCCAGCAGGAACTAGTCGACGGTTGGGAGTTTAGCAAGTGAGCTATTGAGATCCGCGATTTAGGTTTGGTACAGCGGTCAGAAGATGATGGTTGTTTTGTAGTACCATAGTGATCAGAGTAATCGGTTTAGGTCAAGAGAATGTAGGTTCTAAAAAGCGACCGTCGGAGGTGAGTCTGAGTGGGCACTGACATGCTATACATAAGCCAGACAAACAAGTGCGATCTAAATTCGGCAGAGCTCACACTGCAATTAAAAATGACTGACGTAAGTGAAAGATACAATATATCGGAGCGGAAAAGAGAAAAAACTTGATTGCGATCAAGAACCACTCGCAACAAAGCAAGACAGCAGAGAATCCGTTGCAGAAAAAGCCATGTGTAACTGAGAATGAGTGGCGCCACAAGTAGCTTGTGGATAGACAGAGCAGACCCAAGTGGAGCACATTTAGTAGTCAACCCGGTACACATTCAGGCAGAAAACCGTGTGCGTAAGGAACCACCAACTGGCACAAAACCATTTCTTTTGGGTAGCTAAGGTATGTCTGAGAGACATGAAATGAATTAGTTGACTTACACGGGTGCTGTTGCGCCGGCATCAACAAACACTTGAGAAACTTCAGTGGAAGAAAATCCAGGGGGACAATTCCAGTAATGAAGTGTGTTTGATGGTGGATATATTCTATTTTTGCTAGCCTTTTCAGGATTGATATACCGGTTTTCACGCGATCCCGTGTAGTCTTTGAATGAAGGCGATCCGTCAGGAAGCTCAAAAGGCTTAGGCACATCGAGAATAACGAGTTGTTTGCTGGGCCGGATCTATTCAAACAATACAGGGATCGGAAGTCAAAGAAGCGGGTCATGTAAGCGTATAAGGGAGAACAACCAGGGGATACTTGGTAGTGATCAGTTAGAATTAGGTACAAGTGCAGTGAAAACCACTGTCAAACCGTTAGAGTGAGAGAAACGGAAGTTCAAACCATATAATCACCGCAGAGTGTAGAGTAGCAAATCAAACAAGTGATTACCTCACAGTTACCTGGCGTACTGCGTCGCTAGAAATGCTGAGTTTGAAGACGAAAGAAACGGTATGACTAGTGCGCACTAACAAGATATTGAAATGGGTAATAAAAGGTGCAGTGAAAGCACTGACGGAGCGATAACGAAGTAGGCTCAAAGAAGTTCGGTGTTATTTATACCTTTTCTCCTAGAAACCTAACTTAGGGCCATTTTGGACACAAGAAATACACACCAAGATAAGTGCAGTAAGTAGAAGGCGAAAAAATGGATGTAAACGAAGAGGTAAGCAGAGGTATGATGCGTCATTGTTAAGGCCATGTGTTGGTACGAAATGAACTACTGGACAGACCAGCACGCGTGGGAGATAGAAAAACTGAGATATGGGATTACGCAAATGAGATTGAGAGGTATGGTCCTCAAGAAGTTGGACAAATCAACTCAACTTAATCCTAACCCAAAAGTCTGCAGAGAAAACTTCATGCTGCCTTCATCGAAAAAATACTGGGGCAACGACGGTTTGCATACCTCGTTGACGTATTGAACAATACCAGGAGGGGCCCTTAGGCCCTTCGAGAGCTACCCTACTAGGCTGGTCAATGGCTAGAGGTCAGACAAACTCAGTCTCCTGCTCCTCCAGGTTAGGGGTTTGAAATGGGATGGCGTCCATTTCTGTAAAACCGAAGCATTGCCACATCCGCTGCATTGCGGACAGGCTTTTAAGCCCAGGGCTTTGGCTGAGCACGATAAGCGTTCGCTTGTCTATGCCCGGACGGCCTAGTAGTATCTCAACTCACGCAGAACCATGACTAGTTGGCGCAGATTATCAAGGGTCGCGTTATCTGCTGCTGACAGTAGGGCAGATAAACAAAAACATACTGCTGCTGGCGCCTTCCTGCTTTCCCCACAACCTGTTTCTCTAACTCCCCTCTCAATCCCCATTAATAACCATTCTACAATTCTAAGTTTAATCGACAGCAACCGTAAAGTCGCTGGAGTCATGCCATCTGCAGCTAGCTTTCCGCACCACCCACCGGACACTAATCACCATAACTCCTTAGAAAGCCACACTGTCAAGTTACCCTGGCGGCGTTCAACGCTCGCAATCTAAGGCAAATAGGTCAATAGGCTGCACTCGTACGCACGTTAGACACCCTGGGTATTGACGTGTGTGGCGTATCCGAAACTAGAATCAATGACAAGCACAGGGTTGTTGAATTAACTGTCCCCGGCATGTCCTCGTGCTATTGGTTGCACGCATCCGGAGATGATAATGCGGCAACCAGTGGTCAGGCTGGAATGGGCATTGTTCTCAACTCCAAGACTGAGTCATCGTTGATTGATTGAATTCCCGTGAACAGCCGTTTCACGAAGTAGCACTAGACACTGTTTGTGGTTTCCCCTAATGCTTCCACCGATTGCAGTTCTAATACTGCCAAAGACGCCTTCTACCACGAAATGAACACGCTATTACCCAGTGTTACCAGTTCAGAGATCACAGTTACTGTAGGGGATATGAATGCACAAGCAGGTCATCTGAGCTCTTCAGAAGCTCCGGCTGTACGGATAATGGCGAGCGTCTGTTACAGTTGTGTTCTAAGCACCAGTTATTTCTTAGCAGCACAGATTTTAGGCACAATGGGCGCCGAAGCGATGGACATTGTCATAAGTTACCGGTGGCGTGGTTCCATCCTGGAATGTTGCTTATTCTAGATTACTTAAGTTGACTCTGATCATGCTTTGGTACGCTGTTGTTTCTCCATGAACTTTACCAGGAGACGTACCAAGAAACTCTCTCGACTGGCAACTGAGTAGTTATCTCAGCCCTCGGTCAGGCAAACCTACCAGGATGCACTGCGTACCGAAGTTTCGCTCTCTTGTCCTAATGACACTAAGCTTCAATGGAACAGGATCTCGGCCGCCATTCACCATGCAGCAGCCTCTCTTTGCGGCACTACCAAGCGTCTACACACAAGTCAATGGATATCCGAGAGGTCGGTGAACTTGCTGGAACACAAAAGAAAACTCCCGGCTAGTTCTAAGCACAATGTAACTAGGCGGACTATTAGATGCGAACTAAATCGGAGCCTGCACGCCGACAAGGAAGCCTGGTGGTGGACTAGTAGTGCTCAAGATATGCAGGAATCAGAAGCGGCGAGCAATTATCACAAGCTCTTCCAAATGACCCGCACCAATAGTCCCAGAAAAGCAGGCGTCAGTGAAAGAGACAGTGCGGATGCTTTGATTTACAATAAGGAACGCCGTGTGGCTCGTTGGGATGAGTACTTTCGAGAGCAGTATAGTTGGATCTCCGCTTCCGGACTTCTTCCTACTCAGGTGTTGCAAGCTCAGCCATGGTCGGTTCGTTTAGAAGCACGGTCGAAGGCTGAGGTCCGAAAGGCGATCACAGCGCTCCATCGTTTTCTAACCGTTTGTTTGGATTCCCTAGCACCCACAAGATGGTGGCCAGGTCCCCCGCAAGCTCTGAATTCCATGCTCGAACAGGACCGGAAGAAAGAGACCATCTCAAATAACTGGAGTGAATCGGTCGCACTGGCGTTTTACAAGGGTAGTTGCACTGACTGTGTTGACCAAAGGTGCATAAGCTTAACGTCGGGTGGTGTCCCAGTCATCAGCCTTAATACTCGTTCGTCGCCTCACTGCAAAACGGGAATCCCGGACGGTCGGTATAGACCACATATTCACTCTGCGGTAGGTGGTAGAGTAGTGCCACACGTACCGCCGGCCGACAATAGCTGTCCCTGGACTTCAAGTGAGCGTTCGACTCAGTCGATCGTTGGATTCTGTTCGAGATACTTCTGCGGAAATGTGTTTCCATGAAACACGCGGACATCTTTACAAGCCCTGTACTCGAACACCACAGGCCGCGTAATGGTCTACGGTGATTTGTGGGATGCCTTTCTGACAACAAGCGGCGTTCGTCAGGGTTGTCCAATTTCCCAATTTTTGTTCATCTTCGTCGTGGACTCCATCATGGTGTGTTCACACGCCGACCCTCACGATGCAGGCGCTGATGTGCTGCCTGAAGTTGATTATGGGAACGATATTGTCATTGCTTTTTAACGATGTTGAGACGGCCCAATCAACCCCGAATAAACTCTCACGAGTAGTAGTATCATTCGGTAGGCGCTTCTCGCCTTCAAAGTCGAAGTGTTGGTACAGGACCACCAGCCACTTGGTGGCGAAGAAATGGAAATAATTGGTCAAATCGCCTACCTTAGAAGCTCCATCGGCAACGATGGACGCATAACGACTGGTCATTTCATGTGTTGACAGAACCGCCTTTTTGAATCTGCAACATCTGTGGCGAGAGAAAGGGGTTTCCCTTGATATGAAAGTCCGTGTTTGCAAGGCCACAGTGAGGGCCGTCCTGCTCAATGGGAGTGAGACTTAGCCGCTTCGATCCGCAGTGCTTTCAAGTCTTTGAATATCGTTGTCTGCGAAGCGTTGCTGGTGTCGGATGGCACCAGCGTGTCCGCAACGATGTGTGTAGGTGAATGCCAGGCAAGGATAATCATGCCAGCTCCTTAAAACAGATAGCATTTAAGAAACAGCGTTGGCTTAGGCATGCACTATGTATGCATGGTCAATGCTTACCGAAGAAGGCGTTGTTTTGTTTGCCAGGTGTATGGTGGACAAAAAATAACTTGGCGGTGTCTTTGGTCGGTATCGCCTACTAGGTTGGAGTCCATGTGACCTACCTGTTTAAATTGTTTGGTGATGTCTTCGATAGTCGAGTGCCCTGTCTGTAGACGAAGAGCTGAAGATTTGGAGTAATTAGAACCCCGACTATTGTGGACTAGTTCATCAGGAACTCAAATGTCTCTCTATGTGGTCTGCAGAAGTCCGCTTCCCGGTCAATACAAACAAATCGGCATTCACGAAGCCGGGGAAGGGTGGTGACGGCCGAACCCACACCATATACGCGCAAACGCTACTTCCACACCTTTCTTGAAGAATCTGGGTGTACAATGCAAATTGAAGTACGCAGTATTAACTATATCGTAACGGAGCGTTCAAACGCAGCTTCTCACTTTGTCTGAAGTGGTCGACTCTTCTCTTCTATCATAAGACGAATACCAAAGTACGGCTCGCCCGCCCACTGTCCAATTACCTGAGGCGAGACAAAGAAGATCGAACGAGTCCAACGCGCCGCTACCAAACTAGCTCCGGGTTTACGAAGATTGCCTTACGAAGACCTCTACGAGTAACTGGGACTCTACACTAGGTTCTATCGTCGGGTGCCAGTCGATCTCATGCCGACCTACCGCATATTATATCTCGGTGACTTCCACATGTTGAGGCCACTGCTACAATTACGAACGACATGCAGTGGACACTGGTACAAGCTTGTGATGTTGGATATTAAACGAGTTCCCAGCCCCTGTGCTTAGAACAGTTGTAAATGTTTGGAAAAGTCTGCCAGAACACGTGGTGTAGGCCAAATCGGTACAGCAGTACAAAACTTTGCTAGATCAACATTTCACCACCGTTCGATTCAATGAATGATTGCAATGACAAGGACATTTCATATTTGTGAGCTCAGTGACGCTGTAAATCAGGCACTTGTAGATGCTACATAAGAACTTGGAAGATAAGTACGACAGATACATTTTATGACATATCCGTTACTGGAAACTAAGCTGGTGTGCCTGGGTTGAGTTCTACAAGTACAAACATCAAGGCGTTTGGTGGCGTAAGCGAGAAATAGTAGTGCGAAACGCAGAGGAAAGTGAGAGCAACTGCCTGTGACCAAAGGCGCTGAGACCACAAAATACTTCATGCGCCTGCGTCAACCGATGAAAACCCTCAAGTACCCTATGACCCCAACGTCGAGTTTGTAAAGAGTTTGATTGATAGACTCCTCGGCGTTGGTGAACAGGGGTTGGATGGCGAAACAAACCAGCCGTCTTAGAGAGATGAGCACAGTCGGCATATGCGAGTCACTTTTGTTGATGAAGCTAGTCCGAGGTTGATGTTATCCCGCATCGGTGGGCTAAGAGGGTTAAAGATTCATAATTGCACAGATATGGATTTGTCAGACCAGGAGAAACCCAAGTCAGCAATCACTGAGCTAGAGCAGCGTGTTAGTAAAAACAATCTCCGCATTACAAATTTTCCGGGAGTTCCCAGGATTCACCGAATCTGGATCAGCTGACTGAGAACGCCTCGTGCGCGCCCGGCGTTTCCTGCCGTGGCCTGCGCGTAGCTTTTGCCAATGTTTGCAGTTTAATGAACAAACGTGACGAGCTGTCACTTCACTACCTTTTGGCAGCCGGATGTCCTAGGACTGGCTGAGACCTAATTGAATCCAAGAAGTCCAGCTTAGTAACCACTGGTGCTACAATACAATCGGCTTTTCTTATGTGGGAAACTGGTAAGCGCTTACTGGAGCAAAGATGGCCTATGCGAGTAAGTGTGGTGGGTGATGCAGCTGGTACGTGATGAGCCGCTCGTGGGTGCAGCTTATCGTAGCCCGCAAAGTCGCTATTTGAGCTGGTTGCCACATGTCCGAAACCACATGAGTCCTCTCCGCTTTTCGACCTAGAATACTCTGGCATGTGCTTCGACTTCTTCCCGGACATTGTAAAGTGGAGTGTTTGCTGAAAAAAAGGCAACAGCAATACGCCGGTACGCAGTACCAACGCTTCGCTGCCGCGCAACCACCACCAGTGGCACATGGGCTAAAGATACTGCGAGGGTTGACCCACCCCCTAAGAGGGCTCGAACCCGCGCCCTCGGATTACAGGGCAGGCTTGTGATCCTTAAGGCTATGAGCCGGTGTTTACCGAGGTGATATTTGAGACTGGGGCAACACAACACATCAGCAATCTGATGCGCGTAACAATGCATTCAGCTTCGTCGTGCTGGGACTTTATGTTGACTAGCAGCGAACAGCTTATACATGTCCTGGAGTCCCTGGCAGCGACAGAGCATTCAGTAGTCATAGTCAGCCTAGAACTGCTGCTGCAATACTTGTGTCTATAGGAACCATCCTAAAACTATTGGAAAACTGACTTCTATAGTCTAACTAGAGCCGCTATACGAATGGACTGGTCGCTGACATAAAATTCCTCTGTTGAGGAATGTCGGTCTAATATAAAAAGGCGTAAAATCGTTGCGTACTCGATTCTTACTCTTAAAGCGTCGGAAAACTGGGCCAGTGAAACGACATTGGTTCGACAAGGAATATGGTCAGTTGGCTGGACGTCATGTGCAATATGGAACAAATTCCTAAAATCTGGCTCTGCCGATGATTGCGAAATGTATGAACAGTAGATGCTACAACAGCGCGAAAGCGTAGAAAGGTCGGTTATTCGAAGAGTACTTTGTGGACGCAGCATAAATGGCCTGAAAACGGGAAGCGGCGCCGGAGGCCCGCAGGTGACGTAGTGGCGTTAGACGACTCTGGTGGACATATCCTATCTTCGAACATTGAACATGCGTCCACATTGCTGGCACACTTGGCATTCGTATTTTTCAAATGACAGTTCGACTGTACCAAATTGAAGATGTGCAACTCCAAAAGGACGAAACCCAGCCTTGATACGGCACTAAGCCTTCCGGTCCTGACGGGCTCAATCCGCTAATTATTAAACCTATTTAACAGGTCGCTGTCCGACGGTGCATTGTCGAGCGACTGGAAACTCGAGGTAGTGAAGCCGATTCCGAAGGGCGGTGACCCGAGCAACTTCGGTAATTACCGGCCGTTTTATCTAACATTCTCTAGAGGATCGTGAAGAAGGGTCTGCTGCAGCTGTTTGAATGGAAGGACATCCGGACACCGGCAGAGTATGGTTTCAAAAAAGGCCGTTCTTAAATTGGCATCTTGCTGGTGACGCGGCACGAATGGTTGCAAGCGCCGAACCGGGGGAATTCCGACTTGATGCACAATGGTTTCAGCAAAGTGCTCGATAAGGTGAATCATGAGGTGCTCTTCCACAAGTTGAAAATAAGTGGCATTGGTGACTCACTGTACCAGTGGATCAACAATTTCATAATGAGCGCTGGGCTCCAACATTTCCATCGCGTTCTCAAACAATGCAAATTTGGCAAAGATTAAGGAAGATGCCTCAAATGAATTTAATCGGTTAAGCGATTTCGCTCCGAGAACCCGACTGTACATAGGGCAGTGGGAAGTAAATGAAAATGTGACATGGAAGGCAAGAGATGTTCCTTTCAACCGAGGCGCAATTAGCATGCCGCAAGTGGAGAAGAGATGTCGCGAAATTGCTATCACAGGAGGAAATCGTTGTGAATGATCAGACTAAGTGTTGTTGCTCCGTCTCGTCTGCCTAACAGATATTTAAAGGACAGCGGGCACTACGGACACCAGTGGTGTGTTTGATGTCATGACATATTCAAAATAACTGCTTAAATCTTGCTTGCTGCAAAGTTATCTAAGGACTATGGACAATAATCACGCGAGGAGAATAAAGGTGATCCTATCGCCCAACGATGGCTATTTGACTGCGTTGTTGGTAAGGCGTAGTCGTCTTGACGCCTAACATCGGTGTGAGGCATTTACGTTTCGCACCTGGCCATTCGTTCATATCTAGTCGCATACCTCAGTGATGTAGCCGTTAAAATAGTGTGCCAGTGAGGCACTGGTATAAAGTAGAAAAACTACAGTGATGATGAGACGATGTAATGCAGCACTTCACCCGTTCGACTTGGGAATTTAAAGGAGTTCTAGCAAACATGCTCTCGGGGGGAAGGGTGGCGGCGTAGAGGATTCCAAACAGAAATCAAACACTTCTGCACACTAAGTCAACAGCGGCACCACCCAACAGATGCGAGCAACTGAGTGAAAAACGAGCTACACATGAACGAGCTGTTAGCATCCGAGGAAAGGCTTACCGTAATGTTGCAGATAACGGACTTGACGAAAATCATGAGACAATGACCTTTACGAATAGAACAAGATGTATACGAGTTGGAACGCAAGCGATGCCTGTAAAAAGCAACAACTTGCGAGTTCTGAGTAGGAGGATTTGTGATAATGTTCTACTGACTTATCCCAGTTGCTCACAAGCCAGATAGTCCAACCCAAAATCCGAACTATTTGGCTAGTAACCAGCTGGGATGAATCACTGCGCCAAATGCTAGAATTAACAGTTTCGAATCGATTCAGTTAACTTACAAGCAAGCAGATGCACCACGTGACGTGCTTGAACTAGGAATTACTCTATCGATCACTAATGGTCTCAATCTCCTGCAGAAATAATGAATTCAAGGGAACGACCTATAGCCGTGACTAACAAACCCTTTCTTCTAAATAGCACCCAAAGAAAACAACTGGGCAATTGTATGTGTGTAAATGGAAAACAGAGTTTAACAGCGGCACTCACTTGCATCTTGTTTCCTAGGAGAGGAATCTCAGACAAGTTTCTAATAGCACGGTCAGCGCTGATGACGTCCCCCATTTGAGCCATAGCGGACCCCTCTTTGGTACGTAGAAACTTGATGCGTATGACGTTGCCGTACAGGCATAATAAATTGAACAATCTAAGTTAACGAATAAACAAAGTGGTAGGAAATGTTGGTAGGACAGCGTAATGAAGTGGCTGGAGTACTCCTTTAGAAGACGGGATAACATATGGCAAATGTAAAACTGTGAAGTTAGTTACCCTAACAGTGTGCTACCGCACATACTGCAGTTGGATAAAATCATCGCACGGAAAGAAAAAAGTGGCCCAGGAAAAACTTAATAATTATTCTACAAACGAAGTGTTGACATAGGAGAACCACAAGGGGTTCATTACGGTTAGCATAATCTAAACAGCCACCATAAGTCACGGGAGATTAGCCGTCGTCAAGTTTCCAAGCCGCGGTACATTCCACAAAGAATTGGTTTGTAAAACGCCCAATCAGTTGACAAGCCAATGTTACTTCTGGTGAATAGTTAACACTGGAGCTAAGCAAGGTAAACAAATCGAGCAGTGGAAGCTAGTGTAAGAACGTTACCCGTGCCGTTTGGTTACGCTCCATTTTCGTCATTATCGACAACGAAGTACGAGTCGCTCTGTTTCTCTTAACAAACTTCGGTTCTTATTTGGACGCGGAACATATGCGGAGACGAAGGTCGCACGCATAGAGGAAAGCTGTCACAGATAGTTCCATAGTTATTCACGAATGTTGTGAATAAATTTGTGTATAATTTCAAAATCAAGAAAGAGAGAATTGGAGAGAATATCAAGGTATGAAGGCACAAGTGCATCAGAGTAAAAAGAGATAGGCTTATTTTCAGTTTTAAGAGCCTTACCGGATAAAGTTTCAGCTATTCGTAACGTTTTGAAGAGATGAGCTCTTCCGTCGAACAGATGTGCTGAATGCGTTCCAACGCTGGTATATCGTACTACCGTGTTACCGCATACCAGAGTACAGGGTATGTAAATGCTACGACCAACATACGTGACATGTGATTATGAATTTGATTACGGATTTCAGTATGATTCAAAATGATTCATCGCAATTATATTCCAAGCCGCATAGGTAAGCTACCAACCCGAAAAAGCACCGGACGCACGTTTCGCTCTGTTGGGGCTCGTCAGTGGTGCGCATCCATCGGTCCCCGAAAACCATGGCCAGTGTCTCTCCGGCCAGACGCAAAGCCAGTCCTTCGACCGAAGCGACCGGTTCCATATGGTTACCGTCATCCGGTTTCGGATTTGCCTGTCACTGTGGCCAGCCACACGACGCCTGCGCCTACAGAAGGACCATGGGTAGCTTGCGCTGCACCTCCCACAGCTCCAACCACACACCCATATCCAGTGTGAACCCGAAGGAATAAGACCGGGAGGCATGTGGATGGGAGCCACGTTTCATCAACGGAGTCGGCCCACACTCCTTCACAGCAAACACAAGCACGCTGTATTTGGGGAACCAAGTGCACACAAGGCGGTGGCTGGACCGTAGTCCACTCCACATTGAGCACATGGAACCACTCTTCGAGCCTAGCACGACCACAAGGACGGTGCACCCCGTCCCCTACAACAACGACCAACTGCCTCCTGGAGCCAGTATGGACGAGGCAGTGGGTAATAGACAGGTAGGCACCTTGTCAACATGCACATAAAGCGCAGCTACACCGGGGATATCAAACAACAGCCAATCACTTCAAATGACATTATCAAATAAAATACATCTGTTAAAGAATACGGCTGTGCAGACATAACTCTACCCTAAATTACCATATGAAGTAAGTTAGCAACGAATCCGCGACAGGGAAAAATGTTCACGAGTTACACAAAAATGCTACAACCGCAATAACGTTAACGAAGATAACCACAATTAGCGTAAGCAATGTGGCCAGTTAATAGAAGATTAGTCAGGTAGACAGAACAAACCAAATAAAGTGGAATGAAATTTATCCAGCTTAAAAATATCTAGTTTGAGTGTAAGTTGGTTTAGCCTAACTGCGGTGAAGAAGCATCATGAATGCAACATCAGCCTCAGCCGGTTCCATATACAGTAGTCTCAATCGTCGACCAGGAATTTGACAGGCTACAATCAGTCGAAGTTATCAAACCGACCAATCGCTCTTCATGGGCAGCCCCCATTGTGATTGTCAAGAAACCAAACAGAAAGATCCGCCTATGCGCAGATGTCTGATGTATATCTCAAGATTGAAATGTCGGAGAAATCGTGGGAGTCGCTAACGATTAACACTCATAGAGGACTACAGCAGTATACACGCCAATCATTTGGTGTGGAATCGGCTCCGGTAAGTTTACAGCAGATTGTGGATACGATGCTACAGGGAATACTATATGGCATTACCATACCATATGTCATTATAATGGGATCAAGCCAGGAAGAACTGGACTAACGAACAAAACACGTGCAGGACAAGATAAAGGCCTATGGATTGCGCATAAAAGTGGACAGGTTTTTTATGACTTCCATTAAATATCTCCGCTTTATCACTAAACAAAATGGACGAGCTGATCCATCAAACAACAAGCCGATCAAAGACATGATCCCACCTAAAGAAGTTGCGATGTTTGAGATCATTATTGGGGATGGCGAGTTACTGCAATACCTACCTACCGTCCATGCACGACCTACACGGACCATTAAACCGATTCTGGATAAAGATGTTAAGTGGGTCTGGACCACCGAATGTCAGGAAGTTTTCGACAAAATCAAGTTGTCATTAAGTTCAGAATTGATGCTAACGCAGTAAGATCCAAAGCAGAAAGAAATTACAGCCAAATTGAACAGGCTCTCGCTATTGTGCTTGCAGTGAAGCACTTCCGCAAAATACCGTATGGCCGTCACTTTAACTTAGTAACGGACCACAAAGCACTTCTTGTCATATTGGGCTCGAAGAAAGGAATTCCGGTATATACGGTCAATCGTCTGCAGAGATGAGTGACAACTTTGTTGAATTACGATTTCAACATCAAGTACCGATCGACGAGCGACATTTGTCAGGTCGATACGCTGTCAAGGTTGATAGACGAAGAGCATCAATCAGAAGACATGGTTGTTGCAATTATCTCTATCGAAACGGAAGTCAGCCGTGTGTTCGCGGATACTGTGAGCCAGCTCCCAATATCTTTCAGCTTGATACGAAACGCCACCTTAGGGGACCCGTTGCCGTCAAAGGTAGACACGTGGTAGTATTCACAGTTGCCACGAAAGATTTCGGATGCACAGCTACAATTGTCCCAGAGAGGAAGTGCATTAACTTTTGTCCAAGACTATATCCTATCGTCATCCCAGCCGAACTTCAGTTCACAGTCCCCCATCAACTTCATACTGGACATCCCGGCTTTAACAGCATGAAAGCTATAGTGAAGTGTTATATGTACTGGTCAGGTATGGATTCTCAAATCAAGGAGTTAACATGCTCGTGTTCAAAGTGTGTCCTAGCAGCAAAATCGCCGCGAAAATGCTAACTGTTCTCCTGGCCCACGCCCACGAAACCATGGTAAAGGGTTAAGTTTGACTGTGCATGGCCAATCAAAGGACGGAACATCTTGCTTATTATCGATGCAAGTGGCCAGAGATCTTCTAAATGTCGAACACTTCAACTTCGGCCATGATCACAATCCTCAGGGAAGTATTCAGTCGGTTAGGTTTTCCGGAAACACCAGTATCCGACAATGGACCTCAATTTAACTCTTCACATTGTTGACGATCATGACAAAAGCGAAAAGTCATTATATCGAGCCCATCACTGGGATGAGGGAAACATAAGGCTGACAAGCTGTCTCATCAGTACCATTTCTGATACTTGAGGCTCTGAGTTGAATTGCGAGTTCGGATACGTAAGATACTAACAGAAGGACAATGGAATGAGATTAAAACAGAAATGCTATTACCAATGGTTCTTAAGTCAAAAGGAACAACTAAACGTACCGATCGCAGTTCATACGGCTGGAGTCCAAGCCATAGACCATGACCACCGCGGTAGATGTGAAGGGCAGATTTGGCCCGTCGGCCGCGCTGATACCAGCAAGAGAAGGATGAACTGACAAACCAAGTTGGTCTAGAAGGGTGCCTCCGGGGGCGCCCAAAGGCAGTGAAGTGCCTTGTCTGGAATAACCCTCACGATACCCAAGAGCATCACCATTCTGAGAACGTCCGTTTTCAAAGTTACGGACAAAACGACCTAAAAATAAGTCATAAGGAGGAACAAATAAATACCTAACAGTGAAACGTTAGCCCGCCCAGCACTAGCACGCACACGGCCATTGTCCATGGGCAGGTTTGGATTTTCGAAATCCCATGTCTCATGATCGTTTCGCACCACGGTAAGCTTTGTAGGACGTGCAAATTCAATTTTCAAGGAACAACAACCGGAGTAGATATCTGCCCCGTTTAGATTTTGCTTAGCGTTCCGTGCATCGTCAGTTGTTTTGAATTCAACCATAGCCTGATGATCATAGCACCTCAAAAATACAACATACCTGAACATGAGTCTTTTGGAAGACGACAATGCGCAAAACTCGGCCATGCCGCGAAGCGATTTGATTTATGACATCAACTGTTATCGGGTACTGCGCATTGTATACGGTGAAGAGAAGCACTCGACTTTCCATGGGACCATCAGAATGATCCCTGCCGGGTTCGCTCGCAGCTTGCCGTTGAATAATGTGCTTCGAGGTGCTATAGTGTACTCGGACGCGGTGGTTCGAAAAGACTAACGGACTTTCTGTGCATCTGAAAAGAACAAGGAAAACAGCCGGTGCAAAGCATTGAAACGGATAGTGTCTATATATGCACAGTATAACGGTTGAATTATTTGAGTAAGTATAAAACGATATACTGTTGGGCAGTAACAGCTAAATAATAATACCTAAGGGATCAAGGGTAGAGATTTTACCTGCCTCGGTGAAGTCGTCGGATCGGCACCTGGGAAGCGCCACAAAGAGGAGCACAATCGGGCGCGGAGATAAGTATACCATTGCACGACGGTAAGGTCCAGTCGCGACACATTTTCACTGTAAAAATTCAGCCGTGGTTCTCGTGGCACATGGTTTATAGTCAGACTGTGATTGTATATATACGTATATAAGTACACATAAACTGATGGCATACAGTTCCGGATTTGCCCGTCACAGCAGCCCCTTAGGATCATGGGTGTATTACGCTGCAACACTAACAATTCCATACACATCCCATATCCGGTGTAAACCCGAATGAATAAAACTGGGAGACATGTGCATGGGAGCCACGTTTCGTTAAGGTAGTAGGCCCACACTCCGTCAAAGGCAAACACAAGCGCGTTGTCTTTGGGAAGCAAGCGCACACAAGGCGATGGCTAGACCCTGCTCCGCTCCAAACTGAGTACATGGAACCACTCTTCGAGCCTAGCACGGACACAAGGACCGTGCACCCAGTCCCCTCCCACAACGACCAACTGTCTCCTGAAGCCAGTATGGACGAGGTAATGGTTAATAGACAGGTAGGCATCATATCAACACGCATATCAAGCGCAGCTACACCTGGGAAATCAAGCAACAATCACTTGAAACAACAGTAGTAAATAAAAAAATCGAATAATGCATACAGATACGCCGACTTTTCATTAGATGAGCATATGAAATAAACTGGTTGCCAACAAATCCGCGAAAGGTTCAAACGTCAGAAAGTATATTTTAACGCAAATGCGAAAAGGTTATCAAGGTTATGTACAACTAACTTGAGCGACGTGTGCAAATCAACAGAAGATAGTTCACGTAGACAATAGTGAGACAATATACCAAACCCAACACCTGAAATAAAGAGACTCAGCATGCAAGCAAGCGGTTAGTAAATCGAATGCAGCATACCTACAAACGCTGTGCCGGTTCTGCCTAGGTTCTCTGCAAGGCCCGTCGTCGCTTCGGTGGTGGCCCCGAGTGGCCTCGCTCATGACTAACTAGGCCTGCCTGATTCAGGCACTCGCGACCGCATGTGCTACAGCATCATGCGTTCGATATCAATGGAGTACAACTCATCGGCGCCTGCCTCCTGCTGATCGTGCCCCATGCTGAGGCTGATGTTGCATTCATCTTCTTCACCGCAGTTAGGCTAAACCAACTTACACTTAAAATAGGTTTTTTAATGTGGATAAAATTCGTTACATTTTATTTGGTTTGTTCTGCGTACTTGATACTCTTCTCCCAACTTGCACATGTCACTCATGCAAATTATGGTAAACTTGCGTAACTGTATCGCGTAGTATTTGTTAAATAACTCGGACATTTTGTACTTATCACGGATTCACTTATAAGTAATTTCTTCTATATGCGCATTTAGCGAGTATTTATGTCGTCATATGCGTTCACTTTATTCGATATCGGCATTTTGAGTGATTGGCTGTTGTTTGACATCCCCGGTGTAGCTGCGCTTTATGTGCATGTTGACAAGGTGCCTACCTGTCTATTACCCACTGCCTCGTCCATACTGGCTCCAGGAGACAGTTGGTCGTTGTTGGAGGGGACGGGGTGCACCGTCCTTGTGGTCGTGCTAGGCTCGAAGATTGTTTCCATGTGTTCAGTGTGCAGCGGACTACGGTCCAACCACCGCCTTGTGTGCACTTGGTTCCCCAAATACAGCGTGCGTGTGTTTGCCTTTAAAGGAGTGTGGACCGGATCCGTTGATGAAACGTGTCTCTCATCCACATGCCTCCCGGTCTTATTCCTTCGGGTTTACACTGGATATGGGTGTGGTTGGAGCTGTGGGAGGTGCAGCGCAAGCTACCCATGGTCCTTCTGTAGGCGCAGGCGTCGTGTGGCTGGCCACAGTGACAGGCAAATCCGAAACCGGATGCCGCCACCCATATAGAATATGGTCAAGACAGTGAGACGAGATGGAGTGGTGAAGCGCGTTCACAACAACAATCATCAAGCAACAACGGCAGTATACCAACCACTTGAACTGATGCTTTGCTGCTGACCTATGGAACAAAGAATAATAAGAGGGAGAGAAGGGGGCTTACCTGATAACCTTAATGCGATAAGCAAACATTCAGGGTCAAGGCGCCTACACCTAGTGTTAACAACATAGCGTCACAAACATCTGGCAATCATGCAAAGATAAGGCGGCATCAGCGAGACAGCTTCCTTGCGGCTTTCGCTGCCCACCGTCATACTCATGATCGTCATTATACACGTAAGCTGCAGTTGGAAAACACCTCAGCTACTGTGCCGAAATACAAAAGACAAGAAAATAACAGAGGCAGACCGTCTGAGTCCAAAGTAACGGATGGACATCGTCTCGGAGAGCTAACAGCCGGCTGTTGTGCTGCAAGGAATTATGCCTAACGAATGAGTTCGTGATTGGAGGGCAGGTTAAACAGGAGGGAACTCACAACACAAACGCCATTGGGGTCGACAGCAAGTGGGTTCAACCAAATGTGTTTATCGTCCTTAGGACCCCAGCCATGCAGTCGGGATGCACCAACCGACGCCAACTTCGAAATGAGGGTTTTCATTTCTCGGGACTAAGTAATCGCTTGGCCGCCCCTCCTTCTCTTCCAACCGCACCCACGGCGCGCAAACAATGCACGTCGCGGGAATCGGTGTGCTGACATAAGCAAGAGGTCGCCCAGCCATCGGAGCCTGGTGCGTGATATAATGGTGCTGATCAATTCACTGGCTCTTCCTGCACCAAATACGCGACGCCGAACACACCCATCGTTCACGCGGTGCTCCCACCAGACATGAGCTAAGCTGCGGAGTCAGCGATGATCGAACGTGGCCACCGTTTTTATGTGTGTCGACCTGATGGGCTAAGTTTGAAAACCGTATAAAAGCGTTAAACGGACGGCTGCATTATAGACTCTGCGCTTCAGGGCGAGTGATATCGCGTCTGCGCCACAGGTGGCGAGGATTGGCAAAAACTCCTCGGGCTTTTGCTATACGGTTCGTAACCACAGCTTTGATCCCAGGGGCGCTAATATAGCTGCCCAGGTACTTGGATTCCTGAACGACTTCTAGCTAACCACCACCAAGGGTCAGCTCAGGGGTGGGTCCCTGCCAATCTTGGGGAATAACTTTGCATTTCGACAGAACAAAGCATAGCCCAAAACGATTGACAGCCAGTGCTAATCGCTCCAGTGCAGCATGGCACGTTTGGGCGCTGTCACATATGAGGGCAATGTCGTCCGCATACTCCAAGTCAAGAAGTCGCTCACCAGGAAGTAGCTCCACACCTTTTAGGTCGTGTCTAACGAACGCAGTTTCCATGACTCTATCGATGGTGAAATTAAAGAGGAAGCGTGGCACCGGGCAACCTTGTCTCACACTGCTAGAGATACTGATGGGCGGCCACAGTTTGCCATAAACCCTCACTCTGTCCGAACTATGCGCGTACAGCGTTTTGATAATGTTTACATATTTATCGGGCACACCATTTCTCAGCAGACAGTGCCAAAGGTCACATCGATCCACCGAATCGAAGAGACCTTTGATGTCGAAAAACACGAAGAAGGTGAGTCGCCAATAAACATGGCGGTGCTCCAACAATTGAAGCAAAGTGAAGATGTGGTCGATGCAACTCGATTTCAACGAAACCCGGCTGGCTCTTCGTAGATCTGGCCTTTACGAACGCCAATCAGTCTGTGGAGAACGACAAGGGCAAGCAATTTAGAGGCAATTGAGATCAGACTGATCCCTCTATGGTTGTCGCATTCCGAAAGGGAGCCTCCCTTGTAAATTGGGACTATGGCGGAGCGGCTCCAGTCTGTCAGGACAGTTTCCAGCTCCCAAAGTTCTATTTGCAACGCATGTAAATCATCCACAAGAGCAGGTCCCCGAATTTGTAGAGAGCTGGGGGAATCCTATCTGCACCAACGGCTTTATGCAATTTCAACAGTCGGATCTCACATTCGACTTCTGCGCGTGAGGGCGGATCTAAGGAGACGGCCCATGGAGAACGTCACTCAATGCGCGAAAGAGAAACCGATAACTCAGATTGATTAAACTGCTTTGCAAAGTGTTCGGTCCAAGGCTCCAAGCGTTTTGACAAGCTGTAAATCGGCTGTTCACTCTCGTCGCGTATTGTCTCGCTAACACCAGGTCTCCTGCTGCCTATTTCCCGTATTAGACGGAATAACACGATGATTACCAACGGCAGCGGCTGTTTCCATTTCCGATGCATGATGAGACCTCCGTGCTTCGATCTCTCTCTTTAGGCTAGCACGTAGTTTCGCCCTGAGATTTTTGCGAGTCTCATTGTATTCGCTTCCAGCCGGACTACGTTGGCGAGCCTCCCTAAGTTCCAGAGACTTCCTAGAGACCCAGTGCCTAAGTTGGCAATTTGATTTGCCGCTTGATAGTAAGGTATGACGAATATGCGATCAGTGATCTTCGACGGTGTTCAGTGGACGCTTACTCAGCCCAGATGCCAGCGCGCTTTGATACGCATTCAGAACACCTGGCTTCGCCAGCTGACTGGTGTCAATGAGCCCGGAGCGACGTTGCGGACGTCCGCTGAAACGCACCCGCAGGTCAACACACACAAGAGCGTGATCGGAGTCCACACACGTGCTCCAAATCGAGCGACAGTTTAGGACAGTCTATCCAGCGGTAAGTAGTCGCAATGTGATCGCTTCGCGTCCATGAATGGCACGAGGCTGGTGGGCGCCAAGTCACTCTTCTGCGCGTGCTGTCGAGTTATTGCTCGTGAGAAAGAGACGAGCACCTTCACACAGGTGTAGCAACCGCACATCGTTA